TAGATTACAGTTGATAGTCTAAGGCCAGAGGAGATGTTGAAATGGAGCAATAGTTACTAAATGAGTAATAAACTAGCTAAAAATTAATTTGAAAGACAACTTCAAATAGTCAAAATTGCTGTATAATAACTAAATACACTAATACTTTCAAGTGAAAGATCCCAGGAATATACTATAGTTGAAAAAGTTGGGGTCAGCCTAGTGGTGCGTTGGTTAAGAACTGGCTTCGGATGCCAGAGGGCCCCAGTTTGGATCCCACATTGAGGGCCAGTGACACTGCCCTCTACAGCTAAGATGGTGAACAACAGCTCAACCTAGAGCTGGGCTGCCATGAGTTGCCAGCAACAGCATAGGCTGCAGCCCCTGCTGCAGTGGGCTGCCATAAGCTACCATGTGTGTGGCAGGCAACCAGCGTGAGCGGCCGGCAGCTGGTGTGAGCTGCCAAGAGCCTCTGTGAGCAGCCATCCAGTGGCTGGCGACCGATCTGCCTCACCCGGAAAGAGCACAATGATAATACCAACATGGACCAGTGAAGTGACGTCCTCCACAACTAGACTGAAGAACAAAAGGACAGCAACTTGTCTGTTCCCCTTCGCCCAATTCCCCAGGGCTGTTCCCATCCCCCAATTCCCCAATTAAATAAAAGAGAGAAAAAAAAAGAGAAAAATTTGGATTTATTGCTTATTTCAGCAAGGGAAAACACACAGCATGTGAAATGATAGTGTGTGTCAGTAAGAAGGTGTCAGAAGAAATCTGTTATAGGATTTGGGCTTTAGTTGGATGATTTGGGAGACGGTCTAAAGAAACAGAACTTTGCTCTAGAGTAGATGCTATTAGAAAGCCGAGGCAATTTTGTGACTGGGTATCTGTTTTAATTGCCTCCTATTCACCCTGTTGGTGAGGGAGGGATTCTGACCTTAGGGTTATGGGATGGACAAATGCATAACACCATACATTAGACAGATGAAATTGGCAGATACTTGTGAATTGCATGTATTTGCAGCGCAGAGGCAGGAGCACACCACACACCACACACAGCCCCATGGGAGTTGTACTTGGGAACTGAGTGAACAACCAGAAGCTGTAGAAAACAATCTTTACAGTATCAAGTGGGTGAGGTGTCCCTGGTTTCCTTAGGAGTATGTGATTGGCTTGTTTGAATCATTCCACATGCTGGCAGATAAGTGTGTCTGATTCCTTTGATAAGGAAGGTTGTTTGGCTAGAGGATCTTATATGTGGGAGCAGATGGGAAAGGAGAATCTGTGGTAAGACCATTTGAGGTCCTCCCACTTTCCTCCAGATGGCAAAGCAGCACATACTACTGGGCCTTAATTAATGGACTTTAATCACAGTATCCTAATTAATTGTATGTAGAGGAAGGGGAGACTAGAACAAGGAGAAGATTATAGTTGATAAAGAAGTAGCAGTCACTCATTTTAGCCAACAGCAGAGGGGATGTTTAGTAATTTTGGCATTGTGACCTTGCTTTTGTCTGTGCTTATGCAAAATTATGCATTCGCCTTGCTCTGTCTCATTTTATCATGGTCTCAGCGTAACCTGGTCAACGTTGATATAATGTCTGATAGGAGAATAATATAGCCCAGCTCTGACAGCAAGCCCAACTTTTGATCCTAGGGCTGCTATTTTTTCTTTATTATTTGGAAGGACCTGATGGTAGTGAGGGACCAAATCAGATGGGTTGATCAGAGAATGTTTTCTGAAGGAGGGACCCCAAATCATGGCCTTTGCTGCTAATAAGAAACCAACCACATAGAGGACTGAGGAGGGTGGACACAAGGGATGGAGGGGGACAACTTGTAGATGGCATTTCCCATAAGAGGGAAACTGTGAGTGTGAGAAAAGAAGCAGCATGTTACACCTGAGAGGCATGCTTTAAAAACACATCAACTGTGAGGCTATGCGTTAGTGACTCTCAACGGGTTGGAGGTAGAGGAGAGCCAGAATCTTGGAACATTGGGAGTAAAACTGGAAAGCCCCCGGGGGATCGTGATGTGACGTTTCTCCAACACAGATTGCCCCTCACCGCCTCCACCATCCTCTCACACTTTTAGCTGATTATATGGGCTTTGTGTGGAAAATCTATTACTAATTGGCATTTTAATATGACTCTGTATATTGTACAACACAAGTGCTTATCCAGAAAGGTATTACCACCATCTGGGGAGATAGATGGGGTTGTTAGCCAGTGAATGGGCTGTCACTGGCAGAAGATCAATTGTCCAACATATAATTTTCTTTGCTCTCTTGAAGCTAGACTGTAGTGATTTTTTTCCAGACCACCTAATAGACAACATATTTGAGCTAGGTCTCCATTTTCATTTTACAGTGAAGGAGCCAAGTATATGGCTTTGTCATTCCATTCACGTGTGCATATCCAGTTGACATGCTTGAACTCTATACAATAGTTGGCTTAAAGATACCATTGTTACCAGTTGGGAACTTAGCATATTAAAACCAGAAAGTGCTAACAAAGATAATCATTGCAGAATAGTGATTGTAAGCAAGGACTCTAGAGCCAGACTGCCTGGGTTCAAATTGCAGCTCTACCATTTTCTAGTTACATTACTGGAGACAAGTTACTTAGCTCATGTGCCTCAGTTTCCTTATCTGTACAGCAGGGGAAATAATGGTACCCACCTCAAAAGTTTGTTGTTGAGATTAAAATAATATATTTAATTTTTAGACCTGGATCATGACAAGCACTATATAAGTCTTTACCTTTGTAATGATGATAGGGATGATGTATTAGAAAAAAAAAATGTGGTTAACACCGTATTCCTATAGTCAGTGAGCTGATGAACTAACCAGTATATGTAAATGTTAACAGATCTTATTGAGGAATTATTTATTTTACTTATGGTAATATACAGGGCCTCCTCTTTTGCTACAAGGGCAGTCATATAATGGATCAGTCTTTGGCACCATCTGAAAGTATGCATTTAATCTAAAATATTTTTACCTCTCTGACTGATATATCCAGACCTATGACAGATAGGGGTTTTAATAAATTCTGTGACTGAATTTTCTAGGCTTTGCCTAAAGAATGCACAGATCTTTAGCTGAAGCAACCAGCTTTAGTGTCACCGAAATAAGTGTGATAACAGCTTGACCATGCAAAGCTTGACAAGAAGAAAACACCTGCCTGATGTTAATAAGATACATAAATTTAAGACAACAGAAAACCAAAGAAAATTCTCCTATGCCTGTCTTGATAAAATACCAACAGAGTTCTCTATTCATTTCACTATATTTAAAAGTTTATTTGAATTATTATGAAATGTTAACAGAAAATCACTTAGATTATGGGGTCTTGGCAGGTGAAGAGTTTTAAAACGTTGCTGAATCTTTATATGTACTACCAAATTTATTAAGGCAATATAAAAGGAAAAAATGGAAAATATTTTTTTATTCTAGATATTTATTACAACAAACAACAGTGATTTGAGAAGGAATCTGAAGTATCTTAGTAGGCCTGGATATATTGGACATAAATTTTATAAGCACTTTTAAATATAATATATTATCACTTTTGATCTTTCTAGTATCCTTATAGGGAAAGAACATTGTAGAATTATGGAATGTTTTCTTATTATTTTCATTTCATAGGTGGATGAATTGGGGATCAAACATACTATTAAGTAAATGTAGGTAATAGACCCTAGATAAATTAAGTCTTGAATTTCAAACTTTACTGAATGGATTGCATGGCACTGAAAAAGCCTCTGACCTTCTTTCCCACAATAATCCCTTTAGTCAGCCTTGTATCCTTATTACATTATGTCCGCAACATACATTTTACTATTACTGATCTTTGAATCTTTGTCTTCACTTCCCTCACGCCCTCAATGAACCCTGTCTCAAATGCCGCTGCTTTTCATGAATATCCAAATTGTACTCATCATTCAAGGACCAACAAAAATGTCCACTTCCTGTAGAAAGTCTTCCAGCCCTCACTGTTCTTAATATAGCTTTTGCAGGGATTGATCTTATATTCTTAAGTTGTTTAATTTATGTTCACCAAATTCGCCTACTAGACTAGAAGTTCCTGAGAACAGAGACCAAATCGTATACTTCTTTGAAACTCACAGTACCCTAGCACTGGATATACAGACGGTGCAAAAAGAAAATGTATACACGTTTTAAGGAAGGAAAAAACTATTAAAATATATATTGAGTATTAACTCAATATATACCGATAACAAAAGATGAATACATTTTTTACTTCTGTAATCGCAAGAGGTGCTCAAAGTGGCTATCATCAGCATCCAGACACTTCTGATTATGGTGAACTACTGCTTGAGCAACGTTGACCAAAGTGTCCACTTGTATACACTTTTTTGGCACCCCCGGTATATGTAGTAAATTCATGATAAGTATTTGGCTATTATTTAATTGTCCAATGGAGCCATTGCTGACCGTACTGTCTTTGTATTCTAAAAATGTGACTTGTAATTTACCCTGTGTGATTAGTTATTATAGTTGAGTTTAGTATGGTCTTTTCAATATGTTCATATATGAATTGACCCTGGCATTGATTTCTAATGGCACTGAAGCCCAGGCGTATGGCCTGTGGGATCAATTCAACTGCATATGCCTGATGGATTCCCGGAACACAGCAGACGTTTGACCCATGTATCAGTACCGAGAACAAGAACAGGAAATGTTATTCACTGACTGCTTTTCTACAGTATTACATTAGCATCATTATTCTGCTACTTATAATTTCTCAATAGATCAAGGATATCTATTGATGGTAGTTCCTGTGGTATAACATATGCATTCTGTTATTCATTATAAATGATGCTGATCAAGCATATTGTCATTACAAATTTAATTTTTAAGAAATATCCATGTAAAAATGACACACTTGAGATTCATTATGTCAAAAAATAAAAAGCTGGTACAATATGACAACTCAGTTCTTCTGGAATATAAGTGTTCTTTTTAAACAAATAACTACTTTTGTTCATATTTTAAGGAGAATTTGGAGAAGTCTGTAGTGGGCGTTTGAAGACACCAGGGAAAAGAGAGATCCCAGTTGCAATCAAAACTTTGAAAGGTGGCCACATGGATCGGCAAAGAAGAGATTTTCTAAGAGAAGCTAGTATCATGGGTCAGTTTGACCACCCAAATATCATTCGCCTAGAAGGTGTTGTCACAAAAAGTAAGTACTAATTTTTTTCATTACTTTTTATATATTTCATTCCTTTAAAAATAAAGCTTAATAGCAATAAGCCTAAGAGTAATATGACAGCCATTAAGGGGATAACTTAGTTCAGATATCATCTTCTGATAACAGCCCTGGGAGTCTTGATGTTAGGTGATGACATTATCAGAGTTTGCATTGGTCAATGAACAGCTTTGAAATGTTGTTTATTATCTATGAATCATTTGCTAATTTAACTTGAAATAATGAATCAAGAGTAAAGGGTTATATATTCTTTTCTAATTTCTATAGCCTATTCACTTCCTCTAAAGCTGTCTAAATTTCAACATTAATAGAAAAAACTATTTAAATATTTTGGGTAATTAAGGTAAAGTACTTCTGTTTGGAAATAAATTTCACATACCAATGTAGAATACTTTATCTGAGGTAAAACTTTTAAACAAAAAATCCTGTATGGAACCCATTTACATAACCATTAGGACTAGATTATTTTAATTTACATCAAATGGAGATAGAATTACAATTTCTGACATAAAAATCCTGTTTTTATAGAAATAGTGGGATGAAAGTGTTTTCTTTGAAGAGAAATTTCTTTAAAATCTAAAATTAATCATGTATTCCAAGAAATAGATTACTATATATTCACTTTTATTTGAGTAGTGATAGGACATAAAGCTTAACTCTATTTCTCCTTATTTTATTCATTAATGAATTATAGCATATAAAACCCAATACAGAATGGCATTTAAAAATGCACAAAAACAATTTAAATCTTTGAGAGGCATTTTTCTTTCATAAAACTGAAATTCCTTTTAAATTCATGTATATAAAATTGAAATTTTATGTCACATTTGGCAGCAGGAAAGTGTAAAGGTTTACTAGAAATTGACTGTATGTCTGAAACTCATAAGTTCTTCTCGTAAGACACTGGCCAACATGCTGCCCAAGGGGAGCAGAAGATTACTGACAGCCATGAGAGTTTCGAGGACTCAGAAGAATGCTTTTGATAACAGCCACTGCGGTGGGCTAATCCTTTACTGGCCTTCACGGGGCCTTCCAGGATCCATGCCCTTGTGTTGTTCTCACCCACGTTGATTCTGGGCTTGTCCATGTGACTAGCCTTGGCCAATGGGACATTAACAAATGTGATACCAGGGAAAGCATCTTATGTGTTTGCACTTTGGAGCTTGTCCTCTTTTAAAATTCCTTCCTATAACCTAGCCTCCAATGCTATGCAAAGCCAATGCATATCGTGGGGCTAAATGCAGTACTGCAAATGGAGGAGAACTGAGGTTCTCCAGCTGACAGCTCTGTCTGAGCCCCAGTAGTCAGCACTGGATGCCAGCCTTGTGATGAACCATGTCAGACATGGCAACCTCACCACCACTACCAGATGTTGCAGATGTAGTTGACATCTTGTGGAACAAAGAACCACCCAGTTCAGTCCAGTCAACCCATAAAATCATGAGAGGTAATATAATGTTTGTTGTTTCAAGCCATGGAGTTTTGGGTAGTTTATTACACAGCAATAGCTAACCAAACAGATGGACACCAGTTAGAATGCTGCTCTTGCCACTTAAGACTTGTGCAGGTTTGGGTCAATTAGTTAACACCTCTAGTCTTTACTTCCACATCTATAAAATAGGGCCAAAGTAACTCCTATTCCATGGGAATGCTGTAAGGATTACATTTGTAAATGTAATTGGCTAAGTGTAGCATTTAGCATAATATGTGGCTCATCATAAACCATTATTATTGGTATTGTGTGCCAGGCATACATATAGTTTGCCAATTCGTTCTCACAGCAACCCTTCCGAGTATCATTATCTACTGAATCTCAGACAGGTTAATTAACCTGCATAAGGACCTGTAACTCATAGTAAGTAGCATGGCTGGTGTTCAAATTAAGGTCTGTCTGACTCTAAAATCCATACTTTGTTTATTGTTTGTTTGCTGTTGCTGTATCACAGTGAATAAGTCATAGTTTTATACTCTATGTTATCTGAATTAAATAATGTAAGTGATAGCAATCCGAAGAAAATAACATAAGATTTCTTTTTAAAATAAGGAAAATATTTAGGTGAGTGAAATACATTACCTCTAAAATGTAAAATTTGGAAAGATCTAGCTATGCCACAATACCTAGCAAAAATTATAATCTAAAAGAGAGAGGAAATAACATGTTAATTAGTTCTTTTATAGTTTCTGACTTCCTTGTCATTAATTTAGCAAAAACATTTCAAGTTATTCCTTTTGTTTTATATCTCTCGGGGAAGAAAAAGATAATTTTAAAGTTGGGTTATGAATCTTTTCAAAGCATTCAAAATAACAATTTAAATATGATGTTGAAAGTATTATGCATGAAATATGTAGAAATAAGTGTCTAACAGTAAACTCAAAGGCTGAAAAGTATCAGATCTTTATTTCCCCTCTTTGATAAATCACATTAGGTGGCTTTTTCATTTATTCCAATGTGTTTTATTTACATGTGATTAAAACATGAAAGCATATGAAAAGGAAAAGGATTTGTTAGCCCTATGAAGTAGTAAGAATTATTTATCCTAAATCAGCTGAATAGCTTGAATAAGATAATCTGTGGCCCTTGTATACCAGTTTGAAATACTCAGTTTATTTCATATAAACATCCAAACAACCAACACAGGGATTTCTTTATATCTCTAACAACCTTGTCTAAAATCAGGACCAGTGACCTCTACATAGCCAAATTTGTAAGATTCCAAAGTCACGGTCCTGTTCCATTTCAAGAAAAAGAAAGAAAGGGAGCAAAAAAATGAGGGGAATAAGAAAAGAAAAGAAAGGATAATTGAAAAATAACAGATTCAATATGCTTCTGAGTGCCAATAGCCATTGGAATTTTTTTTTTTTATTTGTAAGAGTGAGCCCCTTTTAAGGGTATTGTGGTGTGGCTGAGGTGGGTGGCGGAGATAAAGGAATAATTCCCACAAAGATATGTGGGTATATTTATACTGTTATCTTCTCGACTCAAGTGCTATGGGATTTTTAGGAGAAAGGCAATAAATAAATGAATGCCTCGTTCCCATAAATACATGGTAATTGTTCCAAGATTGCCCTTAAGTAGCTAAGCGATAGCTAGCAATTAATGCTCCCTAAGGACTATCATATTGCATAAAAGATAATACTGACAAAGATAAAAGTGTAATATAGGTTTATACACTCATGTTAGTAGAGTATCCTGGGGTTCTGAGAAACAAATGCACAGACTCTCAGTTGAAACTAATGCAAAATTATAGATCAAAACTTTCATGAGATCCTTTTTATAAATTCTTAATATGTGTACTTTTTATCTTATTGTATATGTGGTTTTTTTCTCTGAGAGATATATATCACAAAATTCCTGGGAATACTTTCACTCTTTCATATTTGGGCATATAATTGTTTTTATTTTAAACTTGAAAGTTAAATGATTAAAAACTATATTATGCAAAAAGTGTATCTGATAAAAGTTAAACCTGTTTATTTGATACACATCACAATTTCATTAACCTGTTAAGATATAACTAATATAAAGAGAGATTGATCAAGCTAAACCATATGCTTAGTACATACTTTTTATCCAAGAAGCAAATAGAAACTATCAGTTTGAAAAACAGACTTATGACCATTAGCAGCATGGAGAGTAGGAATGTGCAACAGGTAATATATACACCAGTGTCATTAATTACCTAGCCAAAAGAGAAGTGCCACCCTTTGATAAAAAGATAAAAATTGTGGTTAAATGATGAAAAAATACAATTCAGAAACCACATTCCAGAAGACTGAGATATGGCAATTTGAAAGGATGATGGAAGAACCAAAAGGAGAGAGAATGAAGTACCTATATCCCAGATTAGTTAGGCCACAACTAAATTTAGATACGATATACTTACTCAAATAAATCATAAATCCAGTAAAAAGGAATAGAAGCCAATCAGGATAGCAAACAAATTCCCAAATATGATTTCACTTCATCATAGAACATTCCTAAAGACTCCTTGGGCTAATACAGAAACTATAACAGAAAAGGCAAGTCCTGCTCAAACCTTTTGTAAATACCCCAGAATATTGTGGGTCCCTTATAAACAGTTTTGATGGGTCCATGTGGCATCAAAGCCAGAGTAGATTCAAGCCAGTTAAATGCTTTGTACATTAAATGCGCAAGAACTGCCTTTCTACCTCCAAAATTGTATTCTGTTTGTGAAGTAGTACAGTATCCAAGATTGTGACTATTGCCATAACCACCAGTTTGACCTCTGCCTCTCCATGGGCTTATGCATTCTGCTTTTAGCCACAAGGACTTGGACAAGTCACTTAGTGTCTTTAGGCCTCAATTTTTTTCCTCTACACAAAAGTTTGAACAGTGCAGATTGGACTAGTAAACAATAAAGATCAAATCTTGCCCTAATATTTTTGTACGTCATTCCTTTGCCAAAAGAAGACAATTGAGATGTTGGTGAGGGAAATTTGTGCCAGTGATAGCTTATCACCCCACCTCCAAATTAACTTCAGGTTGATATCAGTGATCCAAGGATAAGACAGAGAGGTTCAGGAAAAAAACAAAAAAGTTGTCTTCAATAAAATTTTTATCCTAACAATCTGTAAAATAGAAAAAAATAGATAAAATTTTCCTGTAAGTAAAATCAAGGTTTGGATATATGTAATATACCTTGTAGGGGGCAAAGTATTCATCAAACCTGATTCTAATGAAAGAAATTAGATGGTTGTTTTCTTCAGGAATTCAGGTACCCTGCTAGCTGAAGTAGTTTAAAAATTTTGTTTTGTTTTGTTTTCCACGAAACATTTGCTGAGCACCATTAGAGTTAGGTGCTATTGCTAATTAAAACCTAGAGATACAGAAAGGGAGGCCTCGATGCTCTTGAGAAGCTCTTTTGTGGAGACCATCCACGGGGAGCATCAAATAAGTAGGCCAGTATTTCCCAGTATGGTGTGGCGCGTGCTGTTTTGGATACAGTCATTCATTAATTTATTCATTTATTGATTCAGTGAATATTTATTGGTGCCCACTCTTCTAGTCACTGGTAATATTGTAGTAAAAAAAAGACAGAGCTTCTACCTACTGGAGGGGGAAAAAAAATCTAAATATATACATATCATCTTAGGAAAAGAGAAAAGACCTAAGTGAAGAGAAGGGACAAGCCGTGCCGACGTTTGGGAGGGGAGTATCCAGGCAGAGGACACGAAGTTCTAAACGCTTGTGCTAAGAAAGAAGTTGGCATGTTAGAAAGCATCCCAAACAGCTAAAGCAAAATAATAACAGTACAAGTTACATATTGAAAGAAAGAACAAGAGGCAGGGAAAAACATTAAGGAGGCTAGTGTAGTAATCCAAGTGAAAAATAGCGAGGAAACAGATTAAATAAGTAAAAATGAAATAGATTTAAGAGCTATTTCCCAGGTTAGATTAAGATACTTTAGTGACTGTAGATGGGGATAGTTTCGGATGACTTCCAAGTTTCTGGCTTCTATAAGTAGATAAATAGAGGAAATTCTGGAGAAATAACAGATTTGGAAAGAAAGCAATGAATTCTGACTTGGACATAATAAGTTTGAGCTGCCTGGGACATTTAATGACTTCCAGAAAGCCTCTGGAGCCAGGGCTACAGATCCAAATTAGGGAGTGCTTAATGGATGAGCACTGGTGGGTAGTTGAAGCCATAGGGAGGGTAGGGTGACCCAGAAGGTTGAGGAGAACTAGCTTTAATGGGCAGACAGAAGAAGACGACAAAAGGCACAATCTGAAAGAAGGACAGACTTGTAAGAATGAGGGAGAGGTCAATAGAAGAAAATGAGCTGGGAAGCCAAGTATGGTAAGGATTGAGAAGCATCTGTTTGATGGAGAAATTAGGATGGGACAGCCCGTTACAGGACGGAGGCCAGATTGCAGGGGGCTATAGAGTGAGTGAGCCATGTATGTAGGCCAATCAGACTGATGAGTTAAAAAAAAAAAAGCAAATTAGACTGTATCGATT